TTAAATAATACCAACTCTATGTTTGTGTTTGGGTATTTGATTATCATATTCAATTGCTGTCGCCGATTTTGGAACAAAAAACCGTCAGGCTTCCAGCAATCTTAGTTCCGTCAAGTTTGTTTCATCAGAAAAAACGGTAGATGGTGATTTTTCAAGTTGATTTTAGAAGAAATTGTCAATCAAAAGTTGTTTTTCTTTGCCAATGGGACACGAAATCCACTTCCCAGGTATGTACAATGCCTTGAGCTAACATAAATTACAACAAGAAAAATACATTCTCAAATAAAAGTGAAAAAAAAAAAACAATGTTCACATCATATTTGTTAATTTTTTTCATTAACTTTATTATTTTTCATTATTTCAGGAGAATTATTTATAAAAAAATATTTCACAAAAAAGAATTTGTTCACTAAAATATGGTTTAATTGTAAACGAGTTGAAGAGTTGACGATATATAATTTAAATGATAAATTTACAGCATTGTCAAATAAACTTCAAAAATGTTATTTTGAAAAACATTTGTTATCCTTGATAGAATAAAAATCATAAAAGTGATTTAAATAAGTTTCAAAAGATCAAAAAATATTTTTTAATTATCGATCAATTAAAAAAAAATCTATTATAAATACGCATTACATTTTGTTTAAAATTTTTCATGATACTATAATATAGTATTTTATTCCTATGTATACTATGCCCGACATCATTTTTAAATTTTTTTATCCATTAGCAATAGATTATGGAAAATTTAAGGGGCAACTACCATCAAATTTTAAAACAACGCCTATAAATTAACTTTTTCTTATTCCAAACAGAAAATATTATACTGACATTAAAAATGAAATAATATGTGTAAAATGGTAGTTTGTTGCTATCGTAACCAATAAAAATAGCTTAAAATACCAAAAAAACTGGGTTTACGCTGTAAAAAAATAAAGAAGAATGAGAAAAGGAATTTATAATACTGTAACTTTGCTAAGCTATTTCTAAATATATAAAACTGTTATATGAGTGGAGCCGATTTTTTAATAAGTTTAGTTTTTTTTGTAAAAAAGTAAAAACAAATTGAATAATAAAAAAAAGTTTAAAAATAAAATACGAAAAACTCGATAACTCAAAATCTAAATTTTAATTAAAAATTCTACTCCACTCATATAACAAATATTGATAAAATGAACTATATTGATTATTAAACTATATTGATATTAAACTAAAATATTGATAAAATGAAATATTGATAAAATGAATCTCTGAAAATTTCATTATGATAGCATTTATAGTTTTTGAGATTTTTTTTACGGCGTGCCTAAAGTGCAAAGTTTTAGAAAACGCAAAACAAAAAATAAATTCATAAAAAAGTGATGTTTTTAAAATTAAAATATGACTTTTTGAAAAACTATTTTTGAAAGTTACCAGGTTCATAATATTTCCGGAATACTTTTTTGAATTATTGCTTTTGATAAGTGTTGAAATCATGAAAACCCTAAAACTTTCACTCGTCCTAAATGATGATATCTCTATTAACTTCTTGTTTATAAGTCTGTAACCGGCTAAAGTAAAGTGCCCTAGTTTCAATTTAAGTTTTACATGAATTTAAATAACTGACTTATACCAATAATAATATTTATGTTGTTTCAAATGCACCCACATTAGCTTTTTCATATTTTTGCTTATGTTGTTGTTTAAATAAGCTTCGATAACTTGATATAACCTTATTTTAGTCCAATGTTTAATAAGAAGCATAATATTAGGTAGCAAATAGGATATAAATTTTAAACTGTATTTGAATTAGAAGTTCTGAAAAAGCAATAAAAAACGTGCATTTTCACCGTTGCTATACGCATTGCTATGACCTTTTTTCTTAACTTAGAATTAAAACAACAAATATTAGACAAAAACGTATTGAGAAATGTTTTTTTTTTTTTGCAGATTAAAAATCTGCATAAAATTTTGATATATATTAGTTAAAAAATTTTTTTAATTTTTGAAAAATTTAGAGGGTAACTGCCAATGGGCATAATGCTAGAGAAAGTGAAAGAAACAAGAAACTATAACAAAAAGAAAATTTAAGGGAAACTATTCTTGAAAAGTTATAAATTGTGACGTAATGAACAAATTTTTTGTTCCTCTGATTTAACTTTTTCTTTGAGATTTTTTAAGATTTAAAAAAGTACGAACGAAATTCAATCAATCTGTTTAAAAGATAAGTTAAATGCTTTTATGATCTTCGGGTTAAAAGATTAAAAAAGCTTGTATAACTTTATTTCTACATAATCTTAATTCATCAATTTCGTTAAATATTTTTAAGTGACGTTTAGTGACAAGTTTTATATCAAAACAAATAAAAAAACTTCTTTTAAAAAACGCAACCTTAGAGAGATAAGCAATTTTTTTCAGACTCTAAGTATTTCAATTCTGCTCTATGACTTTTTCTTTACATTATCTGCAATAATTCTGCATTTTTTATAATTCTGAAGTTATTCAATTCAATGTAAAAAAAAATAAAAGAAAATAAAAAATAACTATAATAAATGTAGTTATAGTTTGGCAGACAGGTGATTTGCGGGGAATTATTCTTAATCAGACATGCAGTCATGGCGCAGTTGTAGCGCACTTACCTCAGAAATTAAGGTTTCGTGGTTCAAACACCACCTCTTGGCATGTTTTGCGACATCGTTTAGGAAGGAGGCGTGAACTTCCAATTAAATGCTCATCCGCGGTGCACTGTGATAAGACCGTAAGGACTTTTTGGGGCACCTAATTATAATTTAAATTTTTTTTTTTTTTTTTTTTTTTGGGGGGGGGGGGGTAAGGTTTTTTGTTTTGGTATCCCAAAAAGAATCTAACGATCTTATCACAGAGCACCAGGGAAGAGCATCTAGTAAGAAGTTCAAGCCTCCTTCCTTACCAATGGCGCAAAATATTCCCAGAGCTCACTTCGAAATCTAGATCTCTTGTTTTCAACGCTAGCGCTTCTATCACTGCGCCAAAAAAATTAATTTATAAATATTATAAATTTTATGATAAGAACATCAACAATAGTAAATTGTAGAAAACTATTCTTTGACTCTAAATCAATTGTTTAAAGACATCCGAGCTTTACTAATTTGAGTTCAAAAAATAACTTGGTTAGCTCTAACAAGTTATTGTTGAATAAGGTCACACCTTAATTTTTCGCTCTGTGTAATAACCGGATAGTTTGTATTAAAAAAACTAACTAAATATATATAGTCTTTAAATTGTATGTTTTTAAACTTTGGATTAATAATATTGAATAAACTTTATGTCTTACAAACTGTATTAACTCACCAAGCTTTCAAGCTTTTAAAAATTTCACTTCTCTAAGGTTTCATCTTCATCATGGTTTCACTTTTATAAGGTTCCAACCTCTTCAAAGTTTCACTTCTCCAAGGTTTTATCCCCATCATGGTTTCACTTCTCCAAGGTCAACCTCTACATGAAGTTTAAAAAGCCGATATATGATAAAAATCCTAAAAAAGAAAAAATAAGGATAAAAACTATAATAAAAACAAAAAAGCATGAATATTAGAAATAGTTTTCAACCATGGAATTTACTATCATATTTTTTTTCTCTGTTTAAAGTAATCATATTTTTTATTTTTGCTTTAGAAATCTTGCTTTGTTTCTTGGTTATTTCTTAAATTTTCTATTCCGACATGTCTTTCCTCAGGTTTAATTAATTGCAACCAGATGTGGTATGATATCATGGTATCACATATAGAGTTTCAAAAAAAAAAGAAAACTTAAACTCTACATTAAACGTTCAAATAGAGTAATAGAGTCCAAATTTAAGTTGCGTAAGCAAAACATATTTTGACTTAGGTACCCTGAATTATATAATTGCATTAAAGTTTTCATTTTGGTTCAGTGTTTTTTTATGAAAAAAATGGCTTATGTAAACATCTGAAGCTAGTTCTTCGTAATGAGGTTTTAATATAAAATCAATATCAATTCGATTGTCTTTTTTTTTTTTTTTTTTTTTTTATTTTACTTCACCTCCTCAAGGCCGAGAAGGCCACTACAGACGAGAAGGCTACTTATTTTGTGGCTATAACCCTCTCTCAACTCTTTAACTCCGAAACACGAACCTTGACGAACAAGGCCGCTGCGCGGAGAAACGAATTGAGCGCGGTACTACCAGGGACGTGGTGGGGATCGATCTCGGAACCACTCGTTTATGAAGCGAGCGCCTCTACCACTACACCACTACCGCATAATAATCACCGTCTTTACTTGATATTCATTGGTACCATTAGCTTTATATCAATTGTTTTTTTTCCACCAATTATTATTATTTTTTTTTTATTTCTGTTTTTTTTTTTTTTTTTTTTTTTTAATGAAAATTCAAAAATAATTCTGTAATTAATAGATTGAAGCATGCGTTAAACAATCAAGTTGAAAACTTTAATTTTTTTTTCTAAATATTGAGAACGAGATTCAATGAGCTTTTTAAAAAGTCTTATACAATCTATTTCACACAAAAGTGTGTTCCTTATTATCAGCTTAGAGTTGCTGTTTTGATTTGATGGAAATCTCCCCCTTTGAGATGAACAACCCAATTGATGAAACATATCTTTTTTTTGCTATGTTCCATCAACAGGAACACTAATATCTACTATCTCATTAGGCAACTTTCCTTCTTGGATAACAATGCACCCTGTACATTGTTAACCGATTGCATTATTACAATGCGAGTAATTTATTTTGGCATAAACACCAAATATTATTAAAGCTTTTTTAAAAAAAAAAAAATTGGAAATTTCGCAGTCGTCAGTATTGACAGTTTTAACTTTATGCACTATCAGTAGAGTTAAAACATTGTGAAAACCAAAGCTCTTGTTAGAACCAAAACTCATGTTAGGACCAAAATTTCTTTTAAGGGCAAAAACTCTTTTAAGGACCGAAACACTTAAACCAAAACTTTTGTAAAGATTATAACTCTTGGACAAAAATCCAGAATTAAGCACTACAATAAAGAGTTTACATAATGTTTCCTTTATTTACTTTCCAAAATCAAAGTAAAATCTTCCTTTGCTGGTTTCTCAAAAGTTTAGAAATCATATTATGACACTCCGTATATGGACACTGATGATGCACTTAATGCAAATAAGCCAACTGCAATTCTATATAAATAAAATTAATAAGATTTAAAAATGCTCATCAAGAGACAAAAAATTAAATAAAAAGAACATGAGAAATAGAAGAAACTTCAAAATAGTTTGTTTGTTTGTTTTTTATGTATTTGTTTATTTAATTTTGTAAGTGTGTGTGTTTGTATGTCTTAAAAAATCTGCATTACCCAAAACATTCAAATATTGACTCATTTTATCGTAGAATGCCGCAAAGTTCTTTGTTAAATTATTTTTATTTTTCAAATTTGTTTAAGAACTTTTTATTTAAGGAGTTTAAAGATTATCACCTAAACCAAAAAATTTCTTAATTGTTCATAGTTAAGTTGCCTATTATAACATTAAATAGGCAATTCTTTAGTAATAAATACATTTTACATTTATAAAACAAAACAAAGCCATTTTCAAAAACTATAGACACAAATCAAATTAAAAACGGATTAGGTATAACACACAAGAAATATTAAATACGTGCGTTTAGCGTTTGTAGTGTTTTATGGCTAAATGTATAAGACGTGAGAGATTTTTTAATGAATTGCATATTGCAAGACTAACTATGCACAACTTAATTTTTTCTCATTATACTATAGTATTATGTAGTGAAAAATTTATTATTTAGTACACAATGTTAATGTTTCAGTTAATGTTTTAAAGGTTATCTTTAGAACAAGGTTTAGGTGAAAACTTTAATTGCTCATTATACTAATTGCAAATAACAAATGATATCATCAAGATATTTTACAATTTAATATAAATAATTTATTACAGTGTTGCAGCAAAAGTGGTTCTTGTAACTTAATATCTTCAATTTTAGTGATCCTGGAACTAGTATTTTATGTCACGTGGCACCTCCCTCCGTCTTTCGCTGGCCGCACAAAATGATCAGAACTGTTTAGCAATAAGATTGCGGAACTTAAGTGTATTGTACCCAAAGTTACAATAATTTCGTCTTTAACTTTAAATATGTGCATTAATGTTTATGATTTAGTTTTTTTTTAAGGAGTAGAATAAGAAAGTAAAAACTTCAACCAGCTATAAACAGTTTCTATTAAGAACTCGATCAATACCCAAAATGGCGCAGCTTTTGCCTATTCGATTTCAAGAACATCTTCAGGTTAGATCTTAATGGTTTTACATTTCAAAATTATTCAAGTTTAAACAGTTGTATAAATAAAAGAAAAAAAATAAGAAAATTATTGTCAATTTTTTTTGTTCCAATGCAAATTTAAGGGTATTGTACATTTTAGTGAACTGTCTTTTAATAGACATTTTTTTTTGCGTTTTGTCAGGTAAAATTGCCAGATAAAATAGTAAAAGTTTTCAAAAAACCCAAAATTTAACGCAGACAGTGCAATATATTTAAATCATAAAAACAAATTCAAAATATTGTTTTATAGACGTTTTCATAATGGCAAACACATTCAACACTTTATTTTTAGTATTACTAAAAATAATGCTTTATAAATTTTAACTCTTCAATTCTGTTAGTCTTTACCAAGGGCAATTGAATTATATAATTGTTTTAACTGTTTTTTGTCAACTAAATCTTTGTATATATATACACACTATTATTAAATAAAATGGAACCTAAATTTTTGTTTAATTATTAAAATAATTAAACGTATTAAAAGTATGTGAGCTGAAATATTTGAATTAGTTAATAATATGAAAGTGAAAGTTTTAATTTTGTTATAAAATGTATAGAAGTAACAAAGTCTGATGAGGTAAATAATGTGGATTAATATAAATAATGACTTAATATACCTTATAACATTTCCTGCTATAAACATGTTTATATCCCTCCCTCCCTTCTAAACTAAAAAATACTAAGTTTAAAGTACCTTATAGTTTAATCAAATTTCAACAAATCAACAAATCTTTTATTCTGATAAGATTAAATTTTTAAATATATATACACATGCAAGTGTTGCATATAATGTGATGACTAAAAAATTGTTTTGGGTAATTAGCAAATAAAAATATAATTTTTACTAAATTAAACATTTAATATAAGCAGCCAACAGGTATTAATGTTAAATGTCTAATAAAATTGTTGAGTAAACTTAAAGATCAACAAAATAGATAGTAATGGTTGTTGATTTTATTTATTATTTGAAAGTAAGAATATTTACATTTAAACTGTGTGAAACTGATATTCTATTTTTGAAACAGCATTTGTGTTTTAGTAGTTTTTTTTATTGTTCCCATTAGACCCTATTTTGCATATACAGTTAGTTGATAAATAATAATAGTTTTTTTAAATTACCTATGAGAAGTTGTACCAATGTTTAATTTTTTAAATAGATACATAAACATATGAATCCCCAGCGATGTGTTAGTTACTGTTCTGAAAATTAAATAAATCTACCTAATTGATTTTTAAGGATGTTTTATGGAAAATTATAGGCTGTTTTAATGTTTTTATCGTTTTAATATATCTGTTATGTGAAATACAGCTTAATTTAAAACTGCATCTGGGATATATCAACTATTAAAACTGCATCTGGGATAAAACAATTCACTTCCTGAATATGGTATCAAACCTCAATAAAATAGTCTGCAAGGAGTGAAAATTAACCTTAACTTCATATGAAGTTATTTCTATGATAAAGACAATTATAAAGTTATTATAAACATAAATATTTATATAAGTTATTTTTAATGACTTTTTTTTGTCCAGATTGTAGCTTAAGTAATGTTAATTTGGTTGACCAGGCTTTATTTTAAGTCAGATACTTTTACAGCCCTTTGGATTAGGTTCGGATTTCAGCAATGTCGACCTAACTGCAGAGGGTTGCATGTATAAGATTAACCTTAATGTTTAAAGCACACAATTTTAATTTAATACATCCACTTTTTTTTATATATAATGAAGTTCAGAAATAAATGTGAAGCAAATATTTGAATTGTAATTGCTTTTCAAGAAATCATTAATGAGCACAAATTAGTAAATGTTGATAGGTCTATGAATATGTTTTTAATTTATAGCAACGTTTAAATTCCAACTTCAGTGAAAATAATATCCTACTCCTTATGGTTTTCAGGCCTTGTTTTAGATAAAGAAAAATGCTTTATGCATTTGCCTAACGTGAATTTGAGGTCATAAAATTCTCTTTATTTTTAATTTTTTAAAATACATTAACTTTTTTAAATTACACAAAACAACTTTAGTATTATTTAACTCATTTTTTATCATTACTTATTGAAAAAATTTTTAATTTTTTAATTTTTTATTTATATTAAATAATTAAATTTAATATTACATTTTTAATAGTGTTTGATATAAACAAATTTCTTTCTATTCTAGACATTTGTATAAATGAATTAAAATATGTTAAATTTTTTTAAGTAATTATTTCTTAAATTTCTAAGTTTTTTATTTAAAAGTTTAAAATTGTTGTGAAAGCAAAGTTTTTTTTCCAAACGCCATTTATTAAAATAATAAATATTATATCGTTTTATATATCCTTTATTATAAAATACTTGCTGTGCTTTATCGTGCGTTATAAAGAAAAGTTTAACTTACATTTTGTGCATGTTTTTGATGCAGCCTCAGAACAGATTTGTTCAAAATTTAATTTTAAATAAACAAAAATCTTTATGTAGGAATACTGAAAAAACAACTGCGATAAAAATGAGCTAATTTTTACAAAAATTTTTAATAAAATATAAATATTAAACAATATTTAGTAATATTTTTAAATAAACTTGACAGTTAAACCCAAGCATTAACTTGAATTTTAATAAACTTATATTTTTAATAAAAACTTGAATGTTTTAAAAAAAATAATCTTGATATTTTATTATTTATATCACAAGTGTTAAATATTTTAAATAATTATGATAACAAATAAAATTATTTTATCATTCAATTAGAAAAAAAATGATGATAGAAAAAATTATTTTCAAAAGCAACTTTGAAACTTTTCATAATTTTAATAATTAATAATTCATTCATAAAGCCTACAATAAATAATACCTACATACATAAATGCCTACAAGCCTCCCTCATGGTTTATCACTTGATGCTTTTATAAACAGGTAGTTATAAATACTTTTATAAACAGGTACTTATAAACACTTATAAATAGGTATATATAAACACTTTGGTAAAAAGTAAAAAAATTCTTCAATTTAAAAACTGCTCGTAAATAAAAAAAATTGTTGAATGTGAACATAAAAACTAAATCTATAATCTTTTAGTGTAATCAATACTTGGCAATTAGACAACATTTTTGTTTAATATTGTATCAGAACAGGTATTTCTGGATTTAATATACAACTTATTGTGTAAAAGAAAGCAATCTATATAAAATAAATTTTTCTTAGATAATTAACACTGGGCAAATGTTACAAAACATCTAGTTTTGTAACATTTGCCCAGTGCTCTCACCACTGATTCAGGTTTTGATACTTTGCATCAGAAGTCTTGTTCAATATTTAAAGAAGGTAAGGTGTTAACCATTGTAAAGCAATTTAGAAAAGAAAAACTCTAAGATAAAGCAAATTAAATTTGTTTGTTGATGAGGGTTGAAGTAGTTTGTAAACCTTGGAAATCTTTTTAGTGGGAGGTAAACAGTAAAAATATTATGTTATTTATTTAGATCTGCAAAACAGTTTACAGGGTGTTAGCTAGGAAAAAATTTTATTTAGCATTTTTGCAAAATTAGGAATTTAGGTGCGGCTAACAAAAAACAGTCATTACATTTTGACATTTAAAAATGCAGATTAATTATACATTTTTTAGATACAATTAAATTTTAGTCAAAATCAAAAAAAAAAATCTTTTTTTGCTGTGTTGTATTTACAGCAAGATTATTTTTTTTTTATTTTATAAATGTTCTTTTCTAATTATTCAGCTTGTTTCATAATGAGCAATCTTATAAAGTTTTCATTTTTAAATCGCTTCTCTTTTTTGTTTTATATACTGCAGCCGTTTTTCAAAATGTCATATGTTTGTTATGTATTTCGAGAAAAATTCAATTATTAAAAAATTATTAGGAGAAATTCTTTGTAAAGCGTTTTTTAAAACTATTAATTTTTATGTATTTTTTTAGGACATTTTAAAAACATGTACTCAACAACGTTTGTAGACATCTAAACTAGCTTATTTTGTAAAAAAGTCAAAATTGATTTTTTTTTTTTTTTTTTTTTACCTAAAGGCGTTTTGAAAAACGGCTGTAGTAGAGAGAAAAATTTGAAGAAAAGACAAATGTTTGCTGTTTTAATGAATGAATTTTTAAATATCATTGAAGCTTTTTTAGTTGCGTACATCGCTTTTAAATACAGTTTTAAAAGGTTTAAATACTTTAGTATTTTAAAATACTTAAAAAAATTTTTTTTACAATATTTGTATTATTGTTCATCATATTTTATATTATAATTTTCATCATTACATAAATTTAATAGTTTAAAAACTTAATAAACTTAATTTAATAGTTTAAAAATCGATAACTTTTAATTAAAAAACTTGTTTGGCTCGCCGATTTCCATCAAATATAATTTTATTAAAAGAACTTTTGTTGCAATATGCTACTTCAACTTAAATAAGTAACAAAGACATTAAGGGAGCAGAGCAAGATTCTTTCACCGCACAAGGGCTGCAACCAAATTTAATCCGCATATTTAAATATTTGGTAAATTAGGTATTTAAATACAAAATTATTTATTTTTTTCAACTTACAATTATACATTAAATATTTATGTAAATATTGTATTTGTAAATTTAAAAAAGAAATTTTGTATTTATAAATATTGGTTAATAATTATTAATTATCTTCTTTTATGTTTTACGCAAATATAACATAGATAATCGCTGCAAGTTTTATTTTTGATTGTTTTTGTTTTATTTTCAATTTATTTTACCAGCTAATTTATTTTACCGAAAGTATTAATAAATCTTTTATTATAAAAAACGTAAATAAAATATAAAATAACATTACAGAAAACTTTTCAAACCACTCAGCTGTGAACTCATGAACATCAAAAATAAAAACAGTAAAAGGTTATTTATTTTGAAATACTGTTTCACAAACAGTTAGCTTATATACAATAAAAGTAGCTTATATTTGCTAGATCTGGCAAAAAATTTAAAGCTTTTAACTAAATTAAAATTAAAGTTAACAACTTTTTAACTTTAGTACTATGCATCACTTTTTAAGGTGCATAATGCTAATATTTTTTCATAATAATGAAGGTATGCATCTAAATTGGTGTTTGTGTAAAATTTTGAGAATTGTTTTACTTTCGTTTCACAGGATGCCATAGCATATGCATCAGCATCAAATGCTTTTAACAGCATTCACAATTTAGTGTTGTTTTAATCAGTTTATAAGTTTATTGTATATAAGCTACTTTTATTGTATATAAGCTAACTGTTTGTGAAACAGTATTTCAAAATAAATTGTTCTTTTTTGATTTAATGCAATATAAAAATATAATTCAGAATTTTTTTATAATAAAAGTTTTTTATATTTCATTTTATTACTTAGCTTCAAAATGTTGGAATTAACGCTGCTAATATTGGTTTCTCAACACTTACAATGGAATCTGACAAGTTTATTTGTGTTAGAGAAAAAGTTGGGGAACAGGCTCAAGTTGTTATTATTGATATGGCAGATCCAAACAACCCTACACGAAGACCAATATCTGCTGATTCAGCTATAATGAATCCAGCTTCCAAAGTAATTGCTCTTAAAGGTTGTTGTTTCTTTGTTGTTATTTTTGTTTGTTGTTGTGTTTTTTTTTATATAGAAAAAAACTAGCGACATAACTGAAATAATGTTTGATGGCTAAATAGTTGTAAATTTTAGTAAGAATTTAGCCAGACTGAAGTGCTAGAAATCTTAAAATCAATTTTGAATATTGATATATAAACTCAAGTTGTGTAAAAAATTTATTATTTAACTTTAATTTAGCTGCAATTTATTATAATTTAATTTTGATTTAGCTGCAAAAACTCTTCAAATCTTTAATATTGAAATGAAAAGCAAAATGAAAGCCCATAACTTAACTGAAGATGTTATTTTTTGGAAATGGATTTCTGTGAACACATTAGGTTTAGTTACAGAAGCATCAGTTTTTCATTGGACAATGGAAGGTGATTCTAGCCCTGTAAAAATGTTTGATAGACATCAATCTCTTGCTGGTTGTCAAATAATTAACTATAAAGTAGACCATTCAGGCCAGTGGTTGCTGTTGGTTGGTATATCAGCTCAGCAAAATCGTGTTGTTGGTGCAATGCAATTGTATTCAATTGAGAGAAAAGTTACGCAGCCAATTGAAGGTCATGCTGCTGTATTTTCTCAATTTAAAATGGAAGGTAACGCTCAACCATCAAATATTTTCTGCTTTGCAGTCAGAGGAGCTACTGCTTCAAAGCTGCACATCATTGAAGTGGGAACTCCACCGACTGGAAATCAACCTTTTCCTAAAAAAGCTGAAAATATATTTTTTCCACCTGAGGCTGATAAAGACTTTCCTGTTGCTATGCAAGCCAGTGAGAAATATGGTGTTTTATATCTTGTTACTAAATATGGATATATTCATTTATATGATGTTGAAAGTGCTCAATGTATTTATTCAAATAGAATTAGTGCTGATACAATCTTTGTGACTGCCCCTTATGAGCCAACTGAAGGAATAATTGGTGTAAACAGAAAAGGACAGGTATAACTTGATATTTACTAGTTTTTTATTATTATCAGTTGTAACATCTTTTATACCTTTTAATAATTTAACCATTCAATTTTTAATTAAAATTATACTTACAATGATCCTGCCAAATGTGTCCAAATATTTCTATATAAATAATACTAGATTTATTTTAAAAAATTCGATATTATTTATACAAATTAAGTAGTATATAACATAAATGTTTAAATGTACACAACCTATTTAAAACTAGATTTTATGTAGATATTACCATTGTAGAAATTGTAGTAGTACAAAAAGTGTGGGGGGGGAGCAGTTATTTATTTATAATAATATTTTTGAAATTAGTTTTTTTCGTAACATAAGGTTCTCTCAGTTTCTTGCGACGAGGAAAAAATGGTTCCTTTTTTAATACAAGTCAAGCAGAATGGTGAGCTAGCTCGTAGAATGGCTGAACGCTGTAATTTGCCAGGAGCAGATAACTTGTTTATTCAAACATTTAATGAAAAATTTGCCATTGGACAATACCCAGAAGCCGCAAAGATTGCAGCTAAAGCACCTAAGGTAGTTTTCATTAACAATATAATTTTTAAGTACTTGAAATATTTATAGTTCGTACAATAAGCTATGTTTAATTTGTTGTAGGGAATATTAAGAACCCCACAAACAATCCAAAAGTTTCAACAACTACCTTCACAACCTGGTCAAACATCTCCTTTGTTGCAGTACTTTGGTATTTTATTGGATCAAGGTCAGTTAAATAAGTATGAATCAGTTGAACTATGTAGGCCAGTTTTAATGCAAAATCGTAAACAACTTATGGAAAAGTGGTTGAAAGAGGACAAGGTTTTTTTTATTTTATTGTTATTGATTACACTTTTGAAAAAGAACTAACATGTTTATTAAATCATGTTGTACTGATTGTTAGCTTGACTGTAGTGAAGAACTAGGCGATCTTGCAAAGCAGTTTGACAACACCTTAGCTTTATCTGTTTATTTAAGAGCTAATGTCCCTAACAAGGTAACTTGATATAAATACATCTAATAATAGTTTGTTTTACAAAAAATAAAATTTACAAAAAAATTTTAAATAAAATTATATATTTAAGTGTTTTTTGCATATATTTATTCTTAACATGTTTAATTTAGAAGTTTTTTCCTTGTTTAAAAAAGTTTGTGAAATTTGTTTTTTTTTTTTTTTTTTTTTTTTTTTTTTTTTTTTTTTGTTTGTTTGTTTGTTTGTATAATTGGTTGTTTGATTAGATCATAAGCAACAAAAATAATATTTCTTATTGATAATGTGTAATGTATATTATTTCTTATTGAATTTATTTAAGATTGTTTATAACTTTAGGTGATAATGTGTTTTGCAGAAACTGGTCAGTTTCAAAAAATTGTTTTATATGCTAAAAAAGTTGGTTTTGAGCCAGACTATGTTACTTTGCTCAGAAATGTAATGCGTGTTAATACTGAAGCTGGTTCTCAATTTGCATCAATGTTAATACAAGATAATGAACCACTAGCTGATTTAAATCAAGTAAAATTATTTATTTTTTGTTTTACATTTAAGTTGTGATTTAAATTTTATCAAAATCTTACATAAGTTATTAAATTTTAACATTGAATTATAAATCAAGTTGTTATCTATTAATTGTAATAACTATTTGTAAAACATGAAATTTAGACTAAATTCCATTCAGTTTTAAGGTCATTACATAAGCAAATCTAATGAAATATTTTGTATTTTTAGTAGCTTTAAATATATAATATATTTAGTGTGTGTGTGTCTATATATATATATATATATATATATATATATATATATATATATATATATATATATATATATATATATATATATATATATATATATGTATATATGTATATTAATATAGATATAGATATATAGATATATAGATATATATATATATATATATATATATATATATATATATATATATATATATATATATATATATATATATATATATATATATATATATATATATATATATATATATATATATAGATATATAGATATATATAATTTTTAACAACTATAATATTTTAAAGCTTTATAACCAAACCAATGCGTGTGAGAAATCACAACACAAGACCAAAATTTAAAAAATACAGAATAAATTTTTTTTTTTTTTTTGGCATTGTAGTTGATTTAAAAGTAAAATTGACTAGTTGGTATCTACAATAATATTATCAATTTGTTAATTAGACATGATTTAACAACTTTACAAACCTGTGTTCAAAAATTTACAGAATTGTTTACAAAAATTCTAGGTCAATTTTACAAAAATTCAACAACCATTTTATTTTTTGATTTCAATTATTAACTTATTAATATTGTTTACATTTGTTTTTGACATTTCAAGTATTACAATAATAAATAAATTTAATTCATTACATTACTAAGTATAAAAAAGGTATTAGATCTACCTAATAATTAGTTACTGCTGTTATATAAAACTAGTTTATTGCTGTTATATAAAACTATAAAAGTTATAACTAGTTTATTGGATAACCTTTCGTCGAATCCGATCAGCGCTCGGAAGCTCCGTTTAATCAGCGCTTGTTGACTATGTGCTCGGATCTAAAATCGTACTCCATAGCACATCATTCCACACCAGCACGGGGCAGTAGCTCTTTTGGCTAAGAGTGATGGCTAATGGCCTACGGTTACTAATGTGTGCATTCGATCAATTGAGTGTGTTTAGCTATCTATTCACTTAATTTGATAGTGAACGAAGACATAACAAGACCATACTAGACGACCAAATGGTACATACTAATGCACTACACCACATCACCTCTACAGGTGATGTCACACCTGTAGACATCAACAGCCTCTAAAATCAGTATATCAAATATTTGTTCTTTATTATATACTTTTGTTCATAATCTTTTTTTACCTTATCCTTGTATATTTATTCAGATTTGTGTTATAATGTGTGAATGAGGCCGTATATTTGTGAAAAGCATAACAGCATGAAAATTTTACTCAAAAGTACGTATTAGCGTATTTTTTATAACAAATGTATTCTTGGTTGGAATATACTGAACAATTTCACTAGATAAATTTATACTAATCACGATTTCGTTAGGTTTTTTTGTTTCCATCTAATTTTCTCGATCTGACGTCGCTAAGTGAGTTTGTTGTGGTTTGCACTATACAGTCTTCACTAACATTCCTTTGGTCGTTTTGTCAGCAATATTGTTTTTTAACGTTACATTTTTTAGTGGTTATAAGCTTTTAGTTAAAATCGCATATATTGTCTTAATTTTTTATTTCCTCATTATTTTCTGCCTATTGATTTAATGTTTGTATATTTTTTTATCTCTGGCTAATCGTTGTTTAATTACTCTGAGTCTGTTTTGTGTGATAGCTATTGTCTCTACTTACCAGGTCTTTTCCTGAATTGCTAACTTTTACTCCTCCTACTAAATAGTCTTTACATTAATTTATGTTTTTTTACCTAAATGACATCATCTTCAATCTGTTTTTATTTTCACATCTCCCAGGTCTACGTAACTGGACGGCTCCGTTGGTCACTTTTTGCAATCATTGTGTCGCATAAGCAAAACAAAAACAAAACAAAAACTAGTTTATTGCTGTTATAAACCTATAAAAGTTATAACTAGTTTATAAGGGAAAGTTTATTAGTTTATAAGACTAGTTTATAAAGGATTCTACATCTGTCCAACAACATCCGTGGAGTAGTGAAATAACATCCGCACATTTTTGTGTAAGATCATCTGCTTTTTTTTTTTTACTGAATTGACATCTGTGCAATAACATCCAAAATTTCATTGATGTCTAATAACATCTTTAGAAAAATGTAACTACACCTGAGAGTTTTTCTCGATGTGTAACTACATCTGCTTAAAATAATGCATTTTTAAAAATAAAATAAATTTACAGATGTAGTTACATCCGAAAAAAATCAGATGTGTAAATACATCTGGTTAAAAAAATGCATTTTTAAATTACTTTTTCCCCAGATGTAGTTACATTTATAAGTTACATATATAATTATTTTATTATATAAGTGCTGCTACATCGACTGAGGGTTAGGTTTGGGCAGGCAGTCTATCAAATAATTTTTTAAAATTTATATATTTTTCAGATGTAGTTGCATCCGAAAAATCTACAGATGTAGTGCATGGATATTATTATATATTAATGAAATTAACACCCCATATTGCACGGATGTTGTTATACATCAATGAAATTTGGGGTGTTGTTGCACGGATGTTATTATACATGGCAAAAACGGATGTTATTGCCCTAACCCATTTATAAATCTTAACGATAAAATACAAGCAAAAAATTAAGTGTTGATAAATTTTTTTTTTTTTTAATTTAACATATTTCATATACATTTTTGTATATATTTCATAATATTTAGTAATTTTTCTTTAGATTGTAGATGCATTTATGGAGTTCAATTTAGTACAGAACTGTACATCATTCTTGTTGGATGCCCTCAAAAATAACAGACCAAGTGAAGGGCCGTTGCAGACAAGACTTTTGGAAATGAACTTATTATCAGCTCCTCAGGTCTTTTTTGTTTAACGTTTCTAGGTTTTAAAGCAGCTTTATTTTTATTTTTAACTTGCTATGACATCAAGAGTTCATTTAATATCTTATCTTAAATTTCACATTTAGTGTTTACCCAGTTTACCTAGTTCAATTATCTGGAGTTAAAGAGGTTTGAAATACTTTTTATCAAGCCTCTTCAACTTCAGGTGTTTTAGTTAGACCAAAAATAACATCTAGATTATTATTAAAATGCTTTTATGAGATAAGATTAACTTAAACATATCATTTGATGATATTAAATGATATGTTAAAGTTATTTTTTTATTATTTTTTTCATTATATGCAGTAGCATCCTAAAGTTTAAGGGCAGTTGCTTATTTTGCTATAAATTTTGAACACCATTATCAATATTCTTGAAATTTTCACTGAATATAGCAATTGATATTTTTTATCTGAAAATACAAACGTTTTTTCCAAATTACATTTAATAATGTAAGTAAAAAAAGAAACCAGTTTCTCTGCTATCTAAAAGTTTAAAAACACTTGTAGTTTTATTAATTAAAGTTATTATATTCAGTTTTAAAAAATTAGATTTCAAAATTTTAATATTGCGCTGGACAACAGGCTTTTTCAGGAGACACAAGTGGTTGCACGCCTTAAATGACCATACAAGTATTTTTTTTTTTATATAACTTGGCCATGTTGTTTGTTTTTTGTTGCATATGTTAAAAATTACTCATTATAAAAACGCATTGAAAAACAAAACTAATTTGTAGAATTATTTTATTTTTCTTATTAATACTTTATTAATATAGTTATTAATGAGATATATATATATAAATATATATATATATATATATATATATATATATATATATATATATATATATATATATATATATATATATATATATATATATATATATATATATATATGCATGCGTAATAACTTTATCAAATATTTGCTATTTTGTATGAAAGCTGTTAGTCTAATGAATAAAAAAAGCTAAAAAGATTTGAGTCTGGTCAAAATAGGGCAAACTTATTGCTAAAAATACCATTTACACTAACATTAAATGGAAAATAAGCTAAAAAAAATTGCTTTAGGTCTGATTTCTGTGAATCAGTAAAGCGGTTTGTATTAGAATCTTTTGCAAGATGTTAAGAATTCTATACCAATTTAATAAATTGGTATAGAGTTGACCGGCTAAGGAAAATAACTTTGTTTTTTTGATACTGTATATTTTACTTACATTAAATCACTTACATTTCCATATAATTTTTTTATATATTATTAGTTAGAGTTATGTAACAAAAATATTGCACAAGTATTGAACTCATTCATTAAAAATAATTAACAAAGAAAATTTTTAAAAACTGGTGGCACTCTTCCTGAGTGATTTTCTCAAACATTCATGAAAGTTAGCAAATTGAAAAACGTTTTTCCACAAAACGAAGAGCAACTTTATTAATACTTAATTGAATCATTTAAATATGAAAATCTTCGGTTTGTCAAAGTTTTTACTTACACTTCTTATGTTTAAATGTATTGCCTTATTTTCATTAGGTTAAATTTTTAAAATGCTACAAAGTATTTACATTTAAATGTAAATACTTTGTACCATTTTAAAACAGACCAAGCAAACTATTTACTAATTTACTAAAACAAAAATAAAAAAGGTTCTAACTGATTTTTTTTTTTTTTTTTTTGTATATATATACATATTAGAAGAAAGACAAATCTTTCTTTTTTTAATGTCTAAATGAAAACATTTATATAATTCTTATTTTTATTTTTTTATTTACATTTATATGTCAACCTAAATAAGAATACATAAACAAATGAAAAAACAATAAAACAAATAATTTTAATATATATATAAAATTAAGTTATATATACTTTTCTTGTTCAATTTACAATACAGTAGCGTTTTAAAGTTGAAGGACAGTCACTAATTTTATTACTAATTTACTATAACTAAACTTTTTACTAATTTACTATAACTAAACATCTTGAAAAAGTTATTTTTTAGTATATTATTATTTAGTAACTTATAAAAAAGCATTCTTTTTTTAAATTCTCCTAATATAAAAAGTTATAGTAATAATCTTGACAAACCAATGTAACAAAATAATTATTACTTGTAATAATGACGAATTTCCTTTCGTTAACAAAAACTTAATTAAAAAGCACCAAAAAAAAAATTTAAAAATATATGAATATATATATCTATGTGTGTGTGTGTGTGTGTGTATATATATTCATATCACGAAGACAACATTTGGTGATCAACACAGCATTTAATTTAATAAAATCATTTAAGGTCATAACAGATTTTTATGGATCTCCATTGGACATTTTTAACAGCACTTTGCTCTCTTTCGTTAATAATTTTGGATTGACTTGTTCCCTTTTTTGTTCGTGAATGTTCCTTAACATTTATATCATTGAACAATTTGTCTTATTGCAGGAATGGAAACATTAAATTGATTTGCTATTTGATTACAAGATATTTTTGATTCTACTGATTTAGTACTAATTTTTTTACCTAAGAACTTATTTCTTTTACTTTTCATTGAACAAAGGAAAATTGATAAAGTTAAATTAAACTTGCATAAAAAATTATTCAGAATATTGCTCAAATTGTAAATATGTTAATGCCTCTGTTAATAAAACTGCAAATGTCCTTAAACATGGCAGAAAAGCCGTAATCTTTTTTTTAATTACATAATTAAATGTTTTGGAAGAATGTTTTTATTTTCAAATAAATATTAGCTTTATTCAGTGAAAATTTTAAGAATATTGAATGTGTCATTCAAAGTTAATAGCAAAATTAGTGACTGTCCTTCAACTTTAAAATGCTACTGTATTGTAAATTGAACAAGAAAAGTATATATAACTTATAGAAATATAGTACAAATCAAAGAAAAAAAGTTTAGATAATAAGATACAAATGTCAACTAATTTATTAAAAAAAAAAAAGTCACTAATTTTATTACTAATTTACTATAACTAAACATCTTGAAAAAGTTATTTTTTAGTATATTATAAATATTTAATATACTAAAAAATAACTTTTTCAAGATGTTTAGTTATAGTAAATTAGTAAAAAGTTTAGTTATAGTAAATTAGTAATAAAATTAGTGACTGTCCTTCAACTTTAAAACGCTACTGTATTGTAAATTGAACAAGGAAAGTATATATAACTTATAGAAATATAGTACAAATCATAGAAAAAAAGTTTAGATCTATAAATATTTAATATACTAAAAAATAACTTTTTCAAGATGTTTAGGTATAGTAAATTACATATATTAATTAAATACATTTTTAATAATTAATTTTCTAAAAAATTTTAAAAGGTTTTTATTACACTAGGGAGCAATAAGTCATTGTTTTTTTTTTGTTTTTTTTAATAAATTTGTTGACATTTGTATCTTATTATTATTGATGAACATCTAAACTAATATATAATAACGGAGTTTTATTTTCAAATAATAAATAATATTGATAAGAGAGTTTTATTTTCAAATAATTTTTTTATTTAAATAACAATTGGTTAAATAAAGGGTGATTTATTTTCAAAAAACTTTTATTCTATTTAATGAATCGTAATATATATCTAACATGCTTATTCAATATAATATTTCATGCATTTGCAAAGTGCACTCTAATTAATGATAAGTAAAATCCGCTTTTTGCAAGGTGGAAAAAATCGTAAGAAGCAAATTTTTTCGTCATGGCGCTATGCCGTTTTAATTTCCACATATTATTTTTCATCTACTATTTTTATTCTTTATTAAAAATAAAATGGCAACTATAAGTTGCCGTTTTATTTTTCTAAAGCTGTATGCTTTAGAAAAAAATTAATATAAAAAATATTTTTTGATGTATATCTGTTTTGTATTTTTTTAGAATGTTTAAGACAATAAATAAATGCTAACTTCTCATAGGAACACTTCTGTGGAAAAACTGTTACTGCAAAAAATAGTAAATGGTTAAACCATCTACTATTTTAAGTTTCCATTAGATATATATTTTTTCGCTTTTTTTTTTTACTGTTGACTTCACATGATATACTATTTAAATATGATTAGTTTTTGCTCTTAACTATCAATTTTTTTTTACTGAAGCAAATTGATCTGCAGATTATCTGCACATGCTTATCAACAAAATAATTGGTTTTGCGCAAATATTTTTTTATCTTGTGGAAAACGGCCTTAATAATATGCAATAACTTAATGATTTTAATCGGTGGTTATCTATTAATACTATAAAATATATTCATGATTCTTATTTTTATAATTTATTAAGTAAAGAAAAATGTTTCTTTTTAAATGTATATTATTTGTATTTCAAATGTTATCAACTGCTTTAAATACTTCAAATGTTACAGCTTAAACCAATCGTAACAAGCATAGCATAAAACCTGAATCTTTTTTTAAAAAGAATTTCGTGGCTTTTATATGCCTACATAGTACTTATTTTTTTAAAGAAAACATAAGTTTGCATAAATTAATTTTATTTTTTATGAAAGCTTGTTTTTGAACTATTTTGTAGCTTTAAAAGTTAGTTTTTTTTTTTTTTTTTGTAAAAATATCACTTAGTTGATAACCAATCAATCTGTTTAAACATATTGAAGAGCAAATTTTTTTATAACCTGAAAGTTTTCCTGATAAATTATTAGCTATTCATTACTCCTAAGCTTATCTCTGGTTTATTTACTAGTAATTTTATTTAATTTTATTTGAACTATAAAATATGGAAATAATATAATCATTTTTATTATGGTCAGGTTGCTGATGCTATATTGGGTAATCAAATGGTTACTCATTATGATCGTGCTCATATTGCCCAACTTTGCGAACAAGCTGGACTTCTTCAGCGAGCTCTTGAACATTACACAGACCCATATGATATTAAGCGAGCTATTGTTCACACTCATGTTCTGAATCCTGAGGTTGGCTATTAATTTAAACTTGTCAAGTGTTAAAATTTTGTTATGTTTGTTTTAATTAGATAGTAATAAATAAAATATATCTTTTTTTCAAATATTTTTTTATATTTATTTTTGTTATTTTAGTGGTTAGTTAACTATTTTGGAACGCTGTCTGTAGAAGATTCAATTGAATGTATTAGAGCAATGCTTACACATAATATAAGACAAAATTTACAAATATGTGTTCAAATTGCTTCAAAGTATTATGAACAGCTGACTACATCTGCATTGATTGAGTTATTTGAATCGTTTAAGAGTTTTGAAGGGTTGTTTTATTTCTTAGGATCTATTGTAAATTTTTCACAGGAACCTGATGTACACTTTAAATATATACAAGTAAGAATGCAAGAGTTTAATTTTAGAGAATCGATTTATACTTTTTTTAAATCAACTATTAAGTTTTTATTGTATTTACTTTTGTTATATAATTTGTGTAGGCTGCTTGCAAGACAGGTCAAATGAAAGAAGTTGAACGTATTTGTAGAGAAAGTAACTGTTATAATGCAGAGAGAGTGAAAAACTTTTTAAAGGTTTATCATATTTACTTTCATTTTTTTAATTTTGGTATATATAGATATCAGGTTTTAAATGATTTTTTTTTTTTTTTTTTTTTTAGGAAGCTAAATTAACAGATCAACTTCCACTCATAATTGTTTGTGATCGTTTTGATTTTGTTCATGATTTAGTTTTATATCTTTACAAGAATAACTTGCAGAAATATATAGAAATATATGTACAAAAAGTAAGTTTTTTATTTTGACTTTTTTTTTTTACTTTCTATAATTCACATCCAACAAAGCTGCAAGCAAACAGTAATTAAATTACTAGAAAAAAAAGAGTTATAGAGCAAGGAAATGTTTGACAAACTTGAAAAGCTGAAGGTTGTATGAATCAAGAAACCGTGAAGATTGGGAAAAAAATTAAGCAATTAAAAGTTTTTATAGCATGCACAGGCTTGGTCAGGAAGCGGGAGCAATCACACTCCATTGCTGACCAGGTAAATAATATTTAGTTGCAAAAAGCTGGCCAGATTTTTTAGTCGTTTTGAGAACATTTTAAAAAGCAAAAAAAAAAGTGACTAACATTAATTGGACCGATGAGAAACAATTACTAAAAAAACGATAGGCAGTTAAAATATCTTTAAACACGAAAAAGCTTAAAGCTAAATAAATTACATTTAGAACAAATATTTTCAAAACATCGCTCTTTAATAATTTTTTTTATAAAATTAGGCGATGTTTTTTATATAAAGTAACAACTTACGATTGTTTAAAAGGGAAACAAATATTCTATATTTAACTAAGTTTGCAAGTTTTAATTTTACTCAAGCTAAATTATTTTATAAATAAAAAAGTTAATTTTTTTAATACTTATTTTATGTTTCTCGTAGTTTAACATATTTGAAGCGATTCTTCTTAGAAAGATAAACAAATGAAATAATTAAATCATTGAATTACTATAGGAATTAAATTATCAAGATAGAAGTCAACTAAAAAGGTTAAAAATATATAATGACCAGGAAGCGAAACTGCTTCACAATATCGCTGATGATGTTTAGTGAGTGGGCTTTTTAATTTTAATTAGTATTTAAAGCAGAAAAAAGGATAACGAGTTTTAAGAATAGCAACTAAAGCGAAAATAATTAGTTAGTAAACCAATATCTAGAAACTTTTTTTTATATCTAATTATTTGCTATCAGCGCTGGCTTTTAGGGGGGGGGCGAGGGCGGCAAGTAAATAGGGGCAGAGAATTTTATTAGTCACAAGTTTTACTTTTCCAGTAGTATATTAGAAATTTAATGTAAATTAAAAGATTTAACGACCTTTGCAAAAAAAAACACGATTTTAAATTTGAAGACAAAAAATTACTACATTTACTTAATTAACGCACGATTTTCTATTGTAATTTGTAATATCATTTGTGCGTTATTTCCCCTAGGAGTCATTTCGAAAAGTTGCAAAAAAAATTTTATAAAGAAGTTCAAAAGTTTTTATTTTTTGTTATTAAATGTTAAGTTGACTCGATTTAAACAATTTTCAGTAAGTTTAGTTACTTTTTTTTTTTTTTTTTTTTTTAATAATTTTATGAATGTGTTTTGAGAACTTTGTTAAATTTTTTTTTTTTTTTAATTGTAGAAATAATTTTATCTTAAAAAATATTCTGTCTTATGTCACATAAAATTTCAAATTCGAGTAAAAAGTTGTCTGGTTATGAGTACAGAAAAAGAAAGTCCGTTAAAGATCAAAAATTTGAAAAAATTAAAAAATTCGTGAGCATTGAAAAATATGTTGCTTATAAAAAACCTGACGAAGGTCGTGAAGATTTTAACCCTGATGCTTCAACTATCTCTATGACTATGTCCAATGAAATTGGAGAACCTTCAACAATACTCAAAAATAGTTGTATAGCTTCATTGCAAATTGAAGTAGATAATAAACCAGTTATTTTAAAAGAATCAAATGATTTATCGGAAGATTTTTTACAAGAAACACCTAATTTATTGGATTGTGGAAATTGGCCATATTGTTCGATCTAGCTACTTTGTGGACTATTTAATCAAACTTGGTCCTTTTCAAATTACAAAGGAAAAATACCCTGAAGATAGAAATGGTCGACATTTTTCTAGCATTTATTACAATAGAAAGCTTGCGAATGGAGAAACCTTTTGCCGTAGATGGTTGGTTTATTCAGATTCTAAAAACTCCGTATTTGGTTTTTGCTGTCTACTTTTTGATAATAATTCAAAGTCAAACTTAGTCTCTGATGGTTTCAAGAAATGAAACATTAGGAAATCATGAAAACAGTGTCTCTCATATGAAATGTTATCAACAGTGGGTAGAAACTGAAATAAGATTAAAAACTGGAAAAACTATAGATAATGAAGAAGTTAAAATTATAGAAAAAGACAGTTTGCGATGGCAAAATGTTCTTCTTGGGCTGATGAATATCACTCTTTACCTAGCTGAAAATAATATGGCTTTTCGAGGGAGTTCGGATAAACTGTTTACGCCTCAAAACGGCAAATTCTTAGGACTAATACAGATGCTTGCAAAATTTGATCCTGTGATGCAAAAGCATTTAGCACTTGCAATAAAAGGTGACACTTCAGACCATTATTGCGGGAAAAATATTCAAAATGAGTTAATAGATTTAATGTCTCAAAATGTTAATGATGAAATAATAAACCGAGTCTTGAAAGCCGTTAACTATTCAATCATTGCTGATTGTACATCTGATATTTCTAGAAAAGAACAACTTTCTCTTACTATTCGAATTGTTGACTTGTTGTTAGACATTAGAGTGGAAATTAAAGAGTACTTTTTAGGATTCTTTTCTGTTTCTGATTCTACAGGCTTAGGACTTACTGAGGTTTTAATCGAGTTGCTAACTAAGCATGGACTTGAAATCTCTAACTGCAGAGGTCAAGGGTATGATAATGGATCAAATATGAAAGGAAAGATTAATGGTGTACAAAAAAGGATTTTAAATCTTAATCCTTTAGCATTATATGTTTCTTGCGGCAACCATAGCTTAAATTTGGTAATAAGTGACTCTGCACAGTCTTCAGTAAAATCTATACCTTTTTTCGGTATTTTTCAGAGATTGTTTACTCTATTCTCAGCTTCAGTGAGCCGATGGAAAATTTTAATTGATCATGTTAAAATTTTGCATTTAAAGAAACTCTGTGACACGCGGTGGGAAGCAAAAATAAGTAGTGTTAAAGCCGTTCGTTATCAAGTTGGTGATGAACATGACGCTTTGATAGCATTGTCAGAAATTAAAGGATGTAATCCTGAAACTGCACATGAAGCAATAACTCTAGGAGAGCAATTAAAAGATTTTAGCTTTTTTGTCTTGTTAGTTGTCTGGTATGACGTTCTTTATCAAGTCAATATTGTTAGTGAAACTCTTCAAGAAAAAGACATGGACATCACTCAATGTGCAAAGTTATTGAAAAGCTGTTGTTCATTTTTAGAAAACTATAGAAAATGTGGTTTTAAAGATGCAATTATAAAAGCAAAGGATTTGGCTATAGAATTACAAGTGGAGCCTGTTTTTAAACCACTTAAAAGAATAATACGAGTGAAACGTCATTTTGACAAACCAGCCCAAGATGGGATTTATTTATTTTCTCCTGAAAAAAAATTAGAAATCGATTTCTTCAATCCTCTTTTAGACACATCTTTAATTTCAATGAGAGAAAGATTTATACAGTTGGTGAATTATTCCGAAGTTTGGGGGTTTTTGTATAATGTCGATAGTTTGCAAAAAAGAGAAGAAATTCTAAAATCATGTTTAGCTCTTCAAAGTAAACTTACCATAAACACATGGATTGCAATGCAAATTTTGCTAACAATACCTGTCACTGTAGCGAGTGGAGAAAGAAGCTTTTCCAAAATGAAACTAATAAAAACCTATCTGCGGTCAACAATGTTGCAGGATAGACTTTCCAGTTTAGGAACCCTATCGATTGAAAAGAATATTGCTGAAAGTCTTGATTTTTCAACCCTAATCAAAGATTTTGGTGATAAGAAGGCTCGTAAGATTAATTTGAAAAATTAAATGTATTTTGTGTAAAACATAAACAACAAATGTTTCTTTGTATGTTGCGTTTTATTGCAAAGTATTATTTTTGAATTTGATTTGTTATTATTTTCCATGTAATTTACCAGCACGTTTATAAAATTTTCAGGGGCGGCAGGACAAATTTCGCACAAGGGCAGCAAAAAGGCTAAGGCCAGCACTGTTTGCTATATATATTTGTGTTCTGTCGTGACCTCAGGCGCGATGCTTGTTCATCCGCGAGTTACTTTGTATGCGTTGTTTGTGTTTTGTAACCAGAAACTTCTAATATGTTTGTTACATAATTAGTTTTATTAACTTTAACGATTATAACTTCATTGAAAATGCAATTATTTTTGTAAGTCTTTGTTTAAATAATAAAAATTGCTTTAAAAGATAGATTACGATAAAAAACAAATACACAAAATTACATTTACATAAAGAATACAATCTCTTTTAAAATAAAAAATAAGAATATACTAATAAAATCTATGATTTATAATAAACTTTTATAATTTTATCAATTTAAATAATATATATTTAAAACATTTATTTTCGTAAACAAATAATATATATTCTTAAAACAATGCTAGAAATCTCAAAACGTAACAAATCGTGAGTAATACGATTTTTAAAACATTTTAACAGAATACTCTAGAACTTTATTTCGCTTAACCAGCGTATTTTTCGAACTAATAGAATTAGTTTGACGGGTTTTTAGTGTTCGTAAATAATCTTTTTATTCTTTCGCTCAAAGATGTTTTAAGAACATTCAAGTTTTTTATGTTTCCATGTATGTCCGTAAAACAAAATTTTTTTCTTACATAAACTTAAATGTTCTTAAAACGACTAAAAAACCTGACCAGTTTTACGCAACTAAATATAATTTCCGTGGTCAGTATTCGAGAGCGATCGCTCCCGTTTCCCGACCAAGTCTGCATGCATGGACTGACACAGTGAAAGAATGAGACTTACCTGAATGATGAGTCATGCAAGAATGAGTTAATGAGATTAGAGATTATAACTCTTTTGAGCATCGATAGTATTTGTTAAAAAAATAAAAAGTGATGCATCTTTACGAGGATGGGAAAGCTTAGTAGGTAGAACCGGTCTAACTACATTTACAAATTTGTTTTTTGGACCTTGTTAAGAAGAGAAAAAGCATCGTTAGAAAAACCAGCCCAGTAATGACAATATTATTCCATACAGGGACAAATAAGAGATTTGCAGAAAATAAAATCAGGAGAGAAAATAGTGAGCACAATAAAGAGAAGCAACCTTAACTAAATGCTAATTTATCAAGCGATTGTATATATGGTTTCCATGACAGGTCAGTAGTAAACGATAATCCGAGAAGACCTAAATTAGTGGACTCAGCTTGAGGGTTGTTGCTCGTTAGTATAGGAATGTCTACAGTATACTTGTGTGTGTGTGTGTGTGTGCTGCTTATTATAAAATATATTTTTATTATTTTGATTTATTACTATCAGTAATATAATCTTGTAGTTTAGCAAGCTAATCATGTTAAATATTTTTATAGCTAATGTTTTTTAAATTTTAATTTTTTAGGTAAACCCGTCTCGTTTATCAGTGGTTGTTGGTGGTTTGTTAGATGTTGATTGTAGTGAAGATATCATTAAAGGTCTTATTTTATCAGTCAAAGGTCAATTTTCAACTGATGAACTTGTTGCTGAAGTTGAAAAAAGAAACCGGTTAAAATTGTTGTTACCGTGGCTTGAGTCAAGAATACATGAAGGCTCCGTAGAACCAGCAACTCATAATGCATTAGCAAAGATATATATTGATGCAAATAATAATCCTGAGAGATTTTTGAGGTAAGGTTTGTTGTTATTTTTGCTTTTTCAAAGTTCATTTATTTTTTAATTACTGTTAATTTTTTTATTTCTTTATTAGAGAGAACCACTTTTATGACAGTTTGGTTGTTGGTAAATATTGTGAGAAGCGTGATCCTCATTTGGCTTGTGTTGCTTATGAGCGTGGGCAGTGTGATTTAGAATTAATTAATGTACATATATTTTTATTGTGTTAAATAGTTTTATTTTATTATTTTTTATTAAGTTTTGTTGTTATCAGTTGTAGTATTAAGTATAATACATAATATCTGACATTTTCAAGGATGTGGTGGTTCAAGTAAATATAAAATTATTTCAATAAAAATAATATTCTTTTTAAAACATTAAAATAGATTAACAGATACATTACATAGGGATTACTTATAAATAATAAAATAGAGTTACAGATGCATTACATAAATTACATTAAATGAATTTTAACTTGAGCTACTTAGACTATTTTTTTATTTAATTTTGAAGATTAACTAAATGACCTTTTTTTTTAAAGCCTAATAGTACTTGTCTATTAGATTTACAGTTTATGGATTAGTTCTATTTAATAAGAACTAAATTTACATTACATATAAATCTGAAGTCTGCAAATTTTGTGTTCGATAATATCAATAAGGACTTACAATGAAATTTTTTTTTTTTTTTTTTTTTTTGTAGGTTTGTAATGTTAACTCATTGTTTAAAAGTCTTGCAAGATATTTAGTTAGAAGAAGAAATCCTGAATTATGGCAAGGCGTTTTATTAGAAGACAACAAATATAGAAGACAGTTAATTGATCAGGTATTAAACATTTTAATAGTCATTAAATAAAATTACTGATATTTATCTAATATTTATCAATATATAGTTATATTTATATATTTATGATGGATGTAGTTCTTTATAGTATTTATGTATTATGTATTTAAATAAAATTTTTAACTATAATAACTTGTACCTGTTTGTTTGTCATGTTAATAGGTTGTGCAAACAGCGCTTTCTGAGACACAAGATCCTGAAGATGTATCTGTTACTGTGAAGGCGTTTATGACAGCTGATCTACCTAATGAGCTTATTGAACTTCTAGAAAAGATCGTATTAGAAAATTCTGTGTTTAGTGATCATAGGTACCTTGCTTGATGTTTGAAGTTCAAAAATATAATTTTTTAGTTTAGATTTTTTAGTCAACTATCAAGAAATTTGTTACTTTGATTTTTATTTTTTTTTTAATAGAAATCTTCAAAACTTGTTAATTTTAACTGCCATCAAAGCAGATAGAACACGGGTTATGGAATACATCACACGTCTAGATAACTATGATGCACCTGATATTGCTAGTATTGCTATAGGTAGTGAACTATTTGAAGAAGCATTTGCTATTTTCAAAAAGTTTGATGTTAATACATCTGCAATTCAAGTTCTCATTGAAAATATTCAAAATCTGGATAGAGCTTATGAATTTGCTGAAAGATGCAATGATCCTGCTGTGTGGAGCATACTTGGTAAAGCTCAACTTACCCAGGGACTTGTCAAAGAAGCTATAGATTCTTACACTAAAGCTGATGATCCTTCAGATTACAAGGAGGTTGTTGAAGCTTCTAAAATGGCAGGTGTGAATTTATTTGTTTATAAAATGTTATTAGTGCTTATAAGAATTGTTTTTATACAATAATTTTTCTAAGTATTTGACATGTAATAACTTACATAATATATATAGAGATATATAGATAGATACAGAGTTGTTAACAAAGGCAAAGGTTACATGGCCAAGAATATGAGTTTCAAAACCAACGCCTACACAAACATTATTAAGACGAAGGACTTGAATTTTTGCCTTAAGTTAATAAAGTATTTACGTAAAATAAAGAATGAAAACATTAAGTTCTTTAATTTTATGTTGTTTTTTTTTTTGTTTTTGTTGTTTTTTTTTTTTGTTTTTTTTTTTTGTTTTTTTTTATGAAGGTCAAGACTTTAATTTTTGGCCTTAAGGCAAGGCCAAGGACTAACAACTCTAGATAGATATATGTAGTATCAAAAATATTACATATATCTATCTGTTATGTAAAAGTTATTAACAATAAATTGAAAAAATTATATTTTCAGGAAGTTATGAAGATCTTGTTAAGTATTTGCAAATGGCACGTAAAAAAGCAAAAGAAGCATTTATTGATACCGAACTAATTTTTGCATTTGCTCATACTGGTCGTTTAGCTGATTTAGAAGAATTTGTATCAAGTCCAAATCATGCTAATATTGGTCAAGTTGGTGAGCGATGTTTCCAAGAAAAGATGTTTGAGGCTGCAAAAATTTTATTTAATAATATTTCAAACTTTGCAAGATTAGCATCAACACTAGTGAATTTAGGGGCGTATCAAGAAGCTGTTGACAGTGCTAGAAAAGCTAATAGTACCCGAACGTGGAGAGAGGCATGTGTTATGATACAAAAAACCACTTGCAGAAATGTGTTTGTTTTTGTTTGTTTGTTTTATTGCCTACTAATGCTTTTATTGATTTTTAGGTATGTTTCTCCTGTGTTGATGGCAAAGAATTTCGTCTTGCTCAAATGTGTGGTTTAAATATTGTAGTTCACGCAGATGAGTTAGAAGATTTAATTAAATACTATGAAAGTCGAGGTTACTTTGAAGAACTGATAACACTAATGGAAGCAGCATTGAGTTTAGAAAGAGCTCATATGGGAATGTTTACTGAACTGGCTATTCTCTATTCAAAATATAAAACAAGTAAAATGAAAGAACATCTTGAGTTGTTTTGGTCACGTGTTAATATACCAAAGGTAAAAAAAAAAAATTATAACTATAAAATCAATGAAACTTCTACACTTAAAAATTTTTGTAGATATGTATTGTAGTTTTTTTTTTATTTTCAAATATTTTAGTCTAGTTTTCATATTAATGATATTTTTCTTTTTTCAAGGTGCTACGTGCATGTGAACAAGCAAATCTTTGGTCTGAACTGGTATTTTTATATGACAAATATGAGGAATTTGATAACGCTGTTGTAACAATGATGAAGCATCCCACTGTAGCATGGAAAGAAGGACTTTTTAAAGAAGTTATAACTAAAGTAGCCAATATAGAACTATATTATAAAGCATTACAATTTTATTTAGACCATAAACCAATGTTAATAAATGACTTACTAATAGTTCTTACTCCACGAATGGATCATACAAGAGGTGTAAGTTTTTTTCAAAAAGCTGGACATCTACCTTTAGTTAAACCTTATTTGCGTTCTGTTCAGTTTCATAATAATAAAGCTATTAATGAGGAGTTAAATAACTTATTAATTAAAGAAGAAGATTATAATGGTCTTCGTGCATCAATTGATGCATTTGATAACTTTGACAATATTGCTCTGGCTCAGAAGCTTGAAAGACATGAGTTAATAGAATTTAGAAGAATTGGTGCATACTTGTATAAAGGAAATAACAGATGGAAACAGAGTGTTGAGTTATGCAAAAAAGATCACTTATATAAGGTTTGAAATCTTTAAGGGTTTGTTTTTTACTAAAAGTTTTTATTTTTATTTATTTATTTTTTTTTTTATTATTGTTTGGATTTTTTAGGATGCTATGCAGTTTGCTTGCGAATCTCGTGATCAGTCAGTTGCTGAAGACCTTCTGCAGTGGTTTTTGGAGGTTAATAAAACAGAATGCTTTGTTGCAACATTGTTTATGTGTTATGATTTATTAAAACCTGATGTTGTGTTAGAATTAGCATGGAAACACAATCTAATTGATTTTGCAATGCCGTACATGATTCAAGTTATGCGAGAGTATCTCACTAAGGTTATTATTTAGATTTTATGTGCTAATTTTGTTATTTCAGTATTTTATTACTTATTTTACAAAATATTAGCTCGTTTTCATGATTAAACTGTTTTTGTTGCTTGTTGTATGTTATGCCAAATTTTTAAACTTGTTTATGCCATGAATTTTTGCATATTTCACTATGTTGTCACTAATGCTGATGTTGTAAGGCAAGATATAATAAAAAATGCAATGTGTGCATACATCAACTCATAATAAAAAGTGCAGTTAAGTGTACACACATCAAATAAGGTTGTTTTTTTGTTGTTGTTTTTTAAACAAAAACTCCCAACAAGCATTTTTGTCAAGACTATTGTTTTTGTAGCAAATCATAATCAAGATAATCAGGAAGATCATTAAATGATCTTCTTGGTTATTTTACCTCTGCTTTTGTACACTTTTTAAAGACCTCACCCCCCCTCTCTCTCTCTCCTCCTGTTTTTCTCCATAAGGGGTTGTTTATGGACGATCCCTTATGGAGAAAAACAGAATTCCAATCTATCATAAGCCTTTGTTATGTCAGGAGCAATAGTCCTTGCCTCACTACTTCCATCAAATGCATTTTTAAATTTTCTGCTAAAAAAAAAAGTTAAGATGTCAGCAGTATACAACAAGAGGATCAAAATAGGTATTTGATGACAGAGATTTTTAACTTATAGTATGAAAATTGATTGTGCAATAGTTAGAGGAGAGTGCAATAGTCAGAGCAATCTTCAGAAATTTTGAAATCTAAAACCTCAGCCATTTTCCATTGGGTAGGACTTTTCCAGTTGTAACAGGGTTCCCACTCCTTTAAAACCTTAAATATCTTTTTTAAAAAAATCCTTAAAATTCCTTAAATAACCTTTAAAAAAGATAAAATTTGATTGCTCTCTTTAATTTCTCATTAATAACTTATAATTATATAGGAAATTTTATTAGTGAATGGATTATACTTATCAATCAAAAAGAAAAAATATATTTTTTTGATAGTTTACAAACCTATATTTCTATTATTTTACTCCTTTAATTCTCTTTACTTTTTATGTCAAAATACTGTTCTACCAAATCTCCTTAAAGCTCCTTAAAATCTTTACTTTTAGTCTCAGTTTTAGTAGTGGGAACCTTGTGTAAACATTTGTTAAATAATTTACAGAATTGTGAAAAGAGTTCTGGAGAGTTATAGGAAGCTGTAGAGGAGTTTATGTAAGAAATAACTTGAGCAACAAAGCCAAGACTGATTTAGTTGTCTAACTGTGGCTAAACCAGTATAATTGAGATATGATAAGTGTGTAGGTTTAAGAGAATAATAAAGAGGGAGAACTATTTGCTGAATTTTGAAATAATTTTATTCTAAATAAAATTAAAAATAGTTATAATAAATTATTTGTAAATAAAATGTTGAAATAATTTTATTGTAATTTCCTTATTCTTGCGAAAAGTAACAAGGTCAGACCCAAGATGTTTGTTCTCTAAAGAGTTGTTAAAAAGATATAAAATAATTGATATAAAAAATGATTGTAATTAAAAACATTAGCTGCGCAGATAAAAGTCAAAAGGTTAGAGTAAAGGTTTAATACATTGAGACGGAGTATAAGCTTTCATGTCGGCCTGAATCTAGAAGGTTAAATAGAACGTGCAATTTTGAACGTGAGACTTCATTGTGGACTTAATAATAGTAAAGCCAATAATAGTAAAGATAAGATTTAACAAATGAAAAGTTACGAATATTTGCAAAGAATAAATTGAAACAATTTGGTGATTATCATGGTTTTTTGTTTAATATTTTTAAATACTGTAATTATGTTTTTAATTAAAAGAGAAGTCGATTTAAACCTAAATAATGGTTTGTACTATAAGCAATAAATTATGCAGTTGCATGCATGTCTTATTGAGAAAGAAAAAAATATTATTTATATTATAGATTATTATATTGTTTTATAGAATTTATTGTATACATTAACAATTTTATATATTTTATTAAAAACTAATAACCATGCTGTTTTGACATAGTATAATGATGTAATTAAACAATTTTTTTGTAAATTATAGGTCGATAAACTTGCTGAAGTAAGTGCAAAGCGAGAGGAGGAACATAGTACTGCTCCTGAAGCTCCTATCATAGGTAATTAAATCACGATTTTATGCCTGTTTAAAAATAAAATAGAAAATGATATGATATTGCGCATTAAAATCGTTTTAAAGTTACTCAAGTTGAGAATATCTTAATGCCAGCATATTTATTTTACAGGAATGGATCAACTTATGATAACTAACGGTCCAGCATTCCTGCCGCCAACTGCTATGTACGGTATTAATCCTGGAATGCCTCCTGGAATGATGCCGCCAGGAATGATCCCTCAAGCATATCAAACAATGCCACCACAGTATTATGGAGGAATGTAATACATTAGAGTACAAAGATTATAAATAGTAGATCGTAATTTAATTTTTTTTATAAATCCAAATCCGTTATGTAATATTCTGTACAGCTTAAAGAGTTTTATCCGCAAGTGCAGTCTGATACTACATTAATGCATTTAATATTTCAAATATTCAGATCCTGGAACCATAAATAGAAAGTAATTTGTTAATGTTTTTAAATGTCATTTGACAGTTATGACTTTCGTACTATCGAAATAACTTTCAGTTCTTAGATATCTATTATTTTTTTAAATCGGAAAGATTTTTTTTTATTCATTTTTGTTTCAGATTTTATAAATGTGTTGTTTTCTCTTTTACTTGTTTGTTGTTGTTGTTTTTTGTTTTTTTTTTTCTTTTTCCTGTTTTAAAGCGAAAAGTGCGTTAATATTATTACTCCGAATTATTCTAGATAGTTTTCCCAGATTAGGCCAATATAGGAATATTTGTCATTTTGTTTGCAGAATTTTGGTGTCTTTAATTTAGCTCGTAATTTATTATCCTGAATATAAATATTAAGTTTATTGGAAGTAACATACGGATAGTAATTTTTCAGAATTCATTTGTATATAATTTGCTGAATAATGTTTCTAGAAGACCTTGTAGTTTTTGTCATTGTCGTTTTTGGAGATGTATTTGTCTTGTGTAAAACTTTTAAGCTCTCAGTCTATTTGTCATCTTTAAAAAATTATAACACCAGATATGTTTTGCTTATCCGACCTAATTTTTTCAAAACAGATCTGGAACGAAAACAAAAAGACCCACAACTAGACTTCACTGGGGTCAACAAGGTCATCCTGGTCGCGTTTATAATAATATAATCACAATCTGAAAATGTATTTCAACTTTTTGAAATCTTAAAGAAAAAAAAAGTAAGCGAATGTACTTGTCTTGACTATACCATCTTTTAATAAAGCGTTGTTTTACATATTTAATTTTATTTTTTAAATTTTACATATTTAAAAATACTCGGGATAAACAGAATTTATTAATTTAAATTTAAAAACAGGTTTTATTAATTTAAATTTTACATATTTAAAAATACTTGGGAAAAACAGAATTTATAAATTTAAATTTAAAAACAGATTTTAATTTAAATCTTACATATTTAAAAATACTCGGGAAAAACAGAACGTTTGATAAATAATGGATTGTTAAACTATTAATAAATGCTAAAATATATCTTTTCAAATTAAATTAATAAAGATGTCTAAAACAAACAAGTTTTTATTGATATTTTAAGTACAAACAAGATAATTAATGAAAGATGACAAAAAACAGTTTCAAGTTTCGAGTCCTGTACGAAATCAACAAATGAATGAAAGAAATTAATTTAACTTTTTCATTAATTTCTGTTTGACCATGCTTCTCCAAGTTATTAGTACGTATTATGTATAAAAGACTAATTATTTATCTTAATACTATACATCAAACAGTTCAGGTTTTAAAAAAAACATTTAACTGATCATGCAGTAATCAAACTAATAAATTGTATATCCGATGGGTTCAACAATAATAGCTTGCATAAGAATTTTTTTTATTTATCTGTCAAAAGCATTTAACACTTAACCATTACATACTTATAAAAAAAACTTTATGGAGTATTAAACAATAACTTACATTGGTCTTAAAGTTACCTTTCAAACAGAAAACAATACATAATGTATAAAGCTAATGAAACACATAACTTGTAGTGCTCCTCAGGGATCAATTTTAGGACCACTATTATTCCTTGTGTATATAAATGAATTTTACTTACCAGCCAAAAGTGTAAATGTTATATTGCTTTCTGACGACTCTAATCTTTTTTACTCTAACAATAATATAAAAGATCTTTTTGAAATATTTAACGAAGATTTATTAAAAATTAATAAGTGGATTAAAAGTAATAAACTTCATTAAATTTAAAGAAAACTTAATTTGTTGATTACTTTGTTTCACAAACCTAGTAAGGGTGATCACCTTACTTTAAAACTACCCAATCTCTTTATTAATAATACAGTTACTAACAGAGAATTGATTGTTAACTTCCCTAAAGTGATATTATATAAAAACAAATGATAGAAATCTCGTATTCATGCTATTGAAAATAAAATCTCCAAAAATATTTCTGTGCTATATAGAGGTAAACTATTTCGAAATATTGAGTCTCATTTATTTATATCTTTCCTATTGCAATATTGCAAGAAAAAGTACTTACTATGGGGATCTTATAAAAATTTATGATAAACAAAGGCATTAATGCAGGATTATATTTGGCGTTAAAAGTACTGTTTATAAAGAATATCTTTTAAAGGAACTTAATGCACTCAATGCTTATAAGCATAATATACACTATTAACAATACTGTTCATGTTTAAATCAAAATATGATTTATCTCCTTATATCTTTTACTTAAACAAAAAATTTAATAAATACCCCACACATTTTTAAATGATAATTGTTTTATTTCAAGATCTTATTTAAAACTCAGTTCATATCAAATTCAATATTGTGGGCCATTTCTATGGAAAAAGTTCTTTCTAAATATTATCAAAAGTAAAACTGTTCTAAACTTCTCTTTACAAAAACTATTAAACGTTTATTATTAAAAAAAACTTCAAATTTAAATAATTCTTTTAAAACAAGATCAAAAAAATAATAATAATAACTGAAAAAGTCATCGCTACTCTTGATCTTCTGACTTTTATTTCGTAGTAAAATAAAAAATTTATGTTTATTTTTATTTTAATATCTTATGAGGTATTAAAAATAACAACTTATTATACTGGAACTAAGTTAGAGATAATATAGTTATATAGGTATTTTACAAATATAATTTTATAAAATAAACGCGGAGACTCGCAAAAGACGTTCAGAACTGCTCGTAATTTACAATCACAATAAATCATAATCAAATATAATTGTATATCTCATAAAAACTTAATAACATAAATACATCAAATAATACATTAAATTATTTAACTAAAAATATAAAAATATAATATCCAGAGACAAAAAAGTTTTTTTTTAAATAAGAGGTAACTCCATTCCAGTGAAAACTCGAAATGTTTAAAATTATTTTGTTCCAAAGAGAAGCTCCGCGAAATGCAATGTTTGTTTTTCCGAAATTAGTTTGATAAAAAGGTTGCCTAACTAAATTATCAATTTTCAAATTGTATTTATTTTATCTTTCAAGGTATATAAATTATGGAAAGAAACTGAGGAATTTATTTTACATTTGCACATAAAACTAGGGAGGAATTTATTTTACATTTGTACATAAAAAAAGAGTGTTAAAAAAATTGAGCTGATTATATTAAAAATTTTCGTTTCATATAAAAGAGGCCTGGCATGAGGAAACCTGTCTTTAAAATTGATAAGACGAGCTTCTGACGACAAAGAGGTTCCAGTTTACTTTTATTGGCACTGCACCAAGCAATATTTGCATAGTTTAAATGACAATGTATAAAAGGAAAATATAATTGTGTTAAACGTTGTTTATTTAAGGCATTTCTGGCCTTATACATTACTCCTATACTTTTAGCAATTTTGTTGTACAAAAAATTAGTGTGATATTTCCAGCTAAGGTTTTCATCAACATGGACACTTAAAAAGTTAGTATTTATTTCTCTTTTTATTTGGGTTTGTCTATAAAAAGTAAGGGGAACTTAATAGTAGTAGTGCGCTTTTGAGCCTGTTTGACACGGTACCCTTGAACGGAGAAAAAATTTGTTTTGATTGAGCTACTTGGTGCGATATAAAAATACATAAAAATTTCAAGCAACTGATGAAAACAATGTCGAGTTTTGTAGTAACTTGTATAAATACATAACTCTATAACTTTATAATGCGTAAGAAAATTGCGTTTTGATATTGCGTAAAGTATTGTAAAGAACGAAAAGAATAAATAAGATCCACTGTCGAGTAGTTGCAATTTAGTTTGCTCAGATTATTATTCAAAAAAAATGTTGGCAAAAGTAAACAAATGATAAAATTCTTTGCCACAAAAATTTAAAATTTTTGGAACTCTTGAAAAAAAAAAAAGATTTCTTTCGTATTTCTATGGTATGTGCTATTTCTATATGCAGCTTTTAGTTCTTAATTATCCAATACAGTGTGCTAGAAGGTTTAATAACACAACTGTATAATAAACAGCAAATCTCATATAATGACTAACCTTTCCATAAGCATTAAATTTACAAATGCTCTATGAACAATTACCTAAGCATCGTGAAAGCACAACATAGAGGTTCCTTCTGGTAGTATAGTATAAAATTTAAAAATTATATGCATACACATATATGTATAAACATAGCAAACACACACAAATTATATATTTTTTCAGCTACTTCCGTCTTATATACTTTCACATGTTTTAAGTGCAGTTTCAATTGATGTTATAATGAGAGCTGATTTATGTATATAACATTTTTTTTTATACGTTTATTGTTGTTAATTATTATATTGGGCCCCGAGCTTATCAATAAATTTATTTATTACATACATATATATATATATATATATATATACATATATATATATATATATATATATATATATATATATACATTTGTCATTAAAAAAAAAGAATACAATGCCGTGTTATATAAATAAAATCTACATGACCGGGGCTAAAAGAAAACAATATTTGCCTTATCACTACACACTGATATATATATATATATATATATATATATATATATATATATATATATATATATATATATATATATATATATATATATATATATATATATATATATATATATATATATATTAAAAAGATCAAAGGTTGTTAGCAGTGGTCCTACTAATTTAATGAATAAAGACGTTAAAACTGTTTTCCTAATTAATAAAACCCTGTTTGGTTTGAATAGGGTTTTATTAACGAGAAAAACAGATCAGATTCATCTGTGAAAATCCTACCACTAAAATTTTTAAGCAGCCCTAGCGCAGTGGCTATTGCGCATGCCTTAGAAGCTAGAGATCTGTGGCTCAACGCCACTACTGTGCAAGTTTTATAACGTCGGTAAAAAAAGAGGCTTGAACTTCCTTTCAAATGCTTTTCTGCGGTACTTTAACTGAACCACAAAACTTTGCTTCAAAAATTCTGCTAGCTAACCACTAGGCCACACAGACATAAAAAAAATCCAACAATATGAAACGCAATACTTGATTTAACATCGATAACAGAAAAATCTAATATAAATATAATAATAATTACTGTCGCAAATAAACGTTTTGTGTCCTTAAATTTTTGACCGTTTTTGACCCCTTAGACCTTGGTCAAACATTCTAACTCTTTAGTAACAAATTCCGTATGACTCTTCACAAAACCACTGACCTCTTTCCCTTCTCTAAAGCCTGGTGTAATTTATAGACGATCTTGTGGGATTGAGATTCAAACAAACAACGTCATAAAAACAAATGCTGTTAAGAAAATAAGTTAAAGTAAATTTTTCTCAAGCAACTTTAGTTTTTACTAACGGTTAAAAAACAATTAATTCTGAAACACCGTACTGTAATATTTTAAAATATACAAACAAAGTTTTTCTTGATTTTTACGACCCTAATTTACATTTTTAATTTAAAGAAATTTAAATACAATTTATTTTA